TGATCGGTTTTGTAAGCTCGGTGGGGCAGGGACCTGCCTTTCTGGCTTGTGGGACATGTCCTGGATGAAATTCTATCATGGCAGGCAGGAAAAAAATCTGCATTTTCACTCACCCCCAGCACTCATTGGATTTACCAAAAGAGAATCTGGATGCCGAGGTTTTTTCAGGGGCTAAGAGAAGGTTGGTGAAATTCCCACAGCTGGAATATGGTGCATTGCCAAGCTGTGTGTGTGTGTGTGTGAATGTCTTTGCTTTGCTTTTATTGTATTGGTTAGATGAGTGTTTCTCAACCTCGGCGACTTTAAGCTGTGTGGACTTCAACTCCCAGAATTCTGGGAGCAAGGCTGGCTGGGGAATTCTGGGAGTTGAAGTCCACACATCTTAATATGGCCAAGGTTGAGAACACTGTTCTAGATTCTGTTTTTAATGCCCAGTCTAGTCCATATCCCTGACATATCCTGTTGGCCTCCCATCCAACTAACTGATTACTACTAACTAACTACTACTAACTGAGTCCAAGTCAGTTTAGCCTTTTGAAATCCGACACGGTTGGTTTTCAGTTCAAAATGGGTTCTGTCCTAGAGCATTAAAAATGAAATTCTTCCCTCCCCTACATAGAGATCAGAAGGAATGGATCCACTCTGACCACATGGGAAAACAGTTTTCTCCAAGTTGGTTCTCCAAACAGTTTGACTACCATTGTCACTGCCCAGACTTTCCCCTGGCAGCCGTGTCATAAAATAGGCTTACCACTCTGGGGGAATGTGGTAATTCCCTAATATTTGGGTCACAGGGACATCTTTAGAATTCTCTTTTCTTACCTTGCTATTGATGGGCACACACTATAGTACAGTGATTTCCATGACCTGAATCCAGTGCCAAACTAAGCCATGATTTGTTGACTAAGCTAGCATGCCTTGGGTTCACACCGCGTACTAAGCCATACCCTGATTCAGGATCCACAGTGGCTGGTTTCACACAATACACAGCTTAAACCACCTTATGACTTAGTGCTTTGGGTGAAGGAAGGTTTCAGCTTCTTTCATGGCAAAATGTAGGCTTGCCATGGTTGCAGTTCTCCAACATACACCTCCCAGCTGTGTTCACACAGCAGACTTAACCAGGTCAGATAAAGACCGACCAGCTGCATTCACACCATATGCTACGCTGAGTTGCTGAGCCTGGTTTGGTTTGGTTTCCAGCATGGGCCTTGTGCGAATTCAGCCCATTTACTCAGTTGAAGGTTCCTTGTGCAAAAACAGGCAACGAGTTAACTCACAATCAGGTTACACACGCTCGGTGGGCACTATAATCCACGTTCTGTATTTAGATGGGCATTTGTAAATTCAGGTGAGAAATCAGTTGCGGCAGCCGAGTTAATTTTGCTACTATCGTCCTTGTCGGTCAAGTTCGGGGCAGAGAGGTTAAGATTTTGCCTAAGTTTAATGCACACTCATACCATTGCCAGATCGGTGGAGTAAAACTTCCATTTTTCAGCAAAGTCTTTTTTTCATTTTCCCTGTCTCTCTTTCTGCTCTCACACACGTTATTTTCTGAAAAATGCTGGACAGCACCCCTGAACAGTTACCACTCCATCTTTCTGTTCAGTACTAGAAAAGTTTGGACAGATCCCCAGCAACATGTAGTAAAAAACTGAGCTTGGGACTCTGCAATTTGATGGACGCGTCTTGTTGTTTTCTTGCCATCTTCTTTTTCAATTTTCCAGTCAAACTTACAATCTTCAAAATTTCCTGGTGGTCTCCCTTCCAATTAGTTTTATAGGCCAGACAGGTCAACCTGGAGCTGACACTCTTCCTCTAAACACTCTCAAATACAGCTACAGAATGCAAAAGAACAATCAGGAGAAAAGAAATGAATTAATCCCACACCCATTTAGAAATCCAAGAGGGAGTTCACTGTCTTTGATGTACTGGGGGTATTTAAAATAAAATATCAAGTTTTAAGAGCTGTGGTTGGTGGCTGAGCTGAGTAAGCCTCTGTTCCTGAAGGTGGAAATGTAGCCACATTAAAAATGGATGTCTCTTTCCTTCTCTGGGTATACAAAGAGACGTACCAAGAATATGTTGTATTCTTAACAAAACCAAACAAGAAGCTATTTTAAACTACAGGGAGAGATGCAGCGCCGAAACACATAGACACAGTTACACACTCACAGGCTTCTAGAAAAAAGCACACACAACATCGTACCTAATTTTTACTCCTTCTCTTTAGGAGATGAGAAGGCATGGGAAATCAAAGAGATGTGCTTAGGAAATTGTGTTAAATTTCTAGGAAACAGACTGTTTGTCCATAGAACAGGACAGTAGAACAATAAGCCAGTTAAAAACAAGGGCATTCATGGGGAGGTGGTCAAAAAAGTCAAAATGGCAGCCACGTCCACATGATCAAAGCCCTAACACTTCTTAAAAGGCACCCCTGCTTAAAACTCCCTTTGATGCAACTGTATCTAGAACAGGGTTTATCAGCCTTAGCAACTTTAAGATGTGTGGACTTCAACTCCCAGAATTCCCCAGATGGCATGTGCCACTTACTTCTCCAAGGTCATCTCTGTTGTTCTCTCGTGTGTTGTGTGAACACAGCCACTGTTGATCGACTGGGCGTATCCATGGCCACAATTGCCTCTTTAAAAATAAATTATCCTTTTCTAGATCGAAATGGGTCATGGCCCCAAGTCAGCGGTGAGTTTCACAACTGAACTCTTGGACACGGCTAAAGGTGCCCTTTGCACCATCAAATTCTGGATCTAAAATTGGTTGGAGGCACCATTGCTCAATCTCCTTCAAAAGAGCGAGAGAATCTCATTCCGCAGAAAAGGATAATTTCTCTTATGGGAGAAATGGATTTTGTTTCCTGGGTCTTCCAGCTGTTTGGCCCTTTGCTCCGCTGCCTTGGGGTACCTCTCACTCCCACCCTCTGTACTTTTAGCTCCTTCTTCCAATTTGTAAAATGAACCCGTTGTCAAAGGAATATTATGTGAGTCAACCTTCAGACTTTGTGATGTGGGTGCAATCCACTCCTTACCGGATAAGGCGAGAGTCAGAACTTGGCCGCAATCACCGCTTGCCATCAAAGAAGAGGGTTATTAACTAGCTAATCTGAACATTAGTGTAACTTGCACACTCGCCTGGGCAGATAAGGGCAATTTCCTTATCTGGTGGTGTCCTTGTGATGGAAGCTGTCCTATGGATGGTGCGTGGAGAAGGTTGAGGCAACCAGAGAAATGTGCAAGGAGGTCGTTGTCATGACTTGCATTTCAACAATGCTCATGTGCAGAACATTCATGCCCGTGTCTGTCTCTGGAGAAGGCCAGTGAGATTCCCTGGGAATTGTTGAATATTTTCTGGTTGCTGAAAAGAAACAGAGACGGACTGTGATCGTCTTCTTTCTTGGCTGGTGTTTGGTTATCCACTCTGAAGAACAGATGGGCAGTCAGGGGCTTTCTAGGTGTTGCTTAATTCCAAGTCTGATCATTGACATCTGCAGAGCCACGGGTTCCCCATCTCCACACCAGATTGGCCTTTCCTCTGATCTTGCAAGGTTTCCCTTATTTCAGAGCATGCGATGCTCCAGATGTTGCTGGACTACATCTTCCATTACCCCTCGCCGCTGCCCATGATGACAGGGTTGCTGGGAGCTGTGTTCGTCAGCATCAGGAGAGCCAGATTCCCCCTCTGTGCAGAAAGTGGCTTTTTCCCATCAGAATTTCTTTTCTGAGTTAGAAGCTCCATGTCCGAGGATGAAGAACTGCACAGGCTGCTGATGTCAAGGACAAGGAGGTCTTCAGCACTGGAACTGATCAAGCACAACCCCAACCGCAACTGGGTTGCTGATTCAGACCCAAGAGTACAGTAGATGGGGATGTTTTTCATCTGTTCAATCTTCTTCCAGCGCAGCCATGAGATGGAAGCCAGAAACTTTTGCAATTATCCAATTTTCACTGACTCATCCTCCTCGGCACAGTCTATCGTTTATCTAACTGGTAGCCAATGGAAACAAGCCAACTTCAACTCATCATTTACCAAGGAAGCTTGTTCGGATTAATTGTCGTTAAGATGAAACACAATTCAGACTTTAGATGAGGCCTACCCTGCAGCAAATCTCAGACCGCAGAGGAAAGGCGGCTGGTGGATGAAGCACGACTGAAAACCAAGGACTGCAAAGCCTTTGGCCGAACATCTGGACAACATTCACATCTGGACTGCAAAGCCTTTGGCTGAACACTAGATGGCAGGGAAGAGATTCAAAGAAGCTTAACTCTTCCCTACCATCTTGTGAGGGAGTATATTTCTACATCCCAGATCTGGCATATTTTCCTCCCTGTTCAACTTCATTCTGTTTGTTTCCATCCACTGTTTTCCCCCTCTCCTCCCAAGGACCAACCCCTCTTCCTGGCCTGGTTGGATGTTTGTTTATTTGCCATTCCTGAAAACCCCACATTTTTCCACTGAGCATGCAGAAGAGAGAAACAGGAGCCAAAAGGACCATCTTTGAAATCCACAGAGCTAAGGCCAAGGATTCAGAGGCATTCCCTTAACATTAGTTTTTACTCTGTAAAAGTAGTTTTTACTCTGTAAAAGATGTAATCAGTGTTTTTCAAACCGGGCAACTTTAAGACATGCGGACGTCTTTGAAGTCTGCACATCTTAAAGTTGCCCGGTTTGAAAAACACTG